AGAGGAGAGAGAGAGAGAGAGAGAGAGAGAGAGAGAGAGAGAGAGAGAGAGAGAGAGGAGAGAGAGAGAGAGAGAGAGAGAGAGAGAGAGAGAGAGAGAGAGAGACAGAGATAGAGACAGAGGAGAGAGAGAGAGAGAGAGAGGAGAGAGAGGACGAGAGAGAGAGAGATGAGAGAGAGAGAGAGAGAGAGAGAGAGAGAGAGAGAGAGTCGAGAGAGAGACGAGAGAGACAGAGATGAGAGACATGATTAGAGAGAGCAGATAGAGAGAGACGAGAAGAGAGAGACAGACAGAGAGAGAGCAGACAGCAGAGACAGAGACAGAGACAGAGACAGAGAGAGAGAGAGAGAGGAGAGAGACAGAGACAGAGACAGAGACAGAGAGACGAGAGAGACAGAGACGAGAGAGAGAGAGAGAGAGAGAGAGAGAGAGAAGACGAGAGAAGAGACAGAGAGAAGAGAGAGGAGAGAGAGAGAGAGAGAGAGAGAGAGAGAGAGACAGGAGAGAGAGACAGAGAGAGAGAGACAGAAAGAGACAGAGAGAGAGAGAGACAGAGAGACAGAGAGACAGAGAGACAGAGACAGAGAGACAGAGACAGAGAGAGAGACAGAGAGAGACAGAGGAGACAGAGAGAGACAGAGACAGAGAACAGAGAGAGAGGACAGAGACAGAGAGACAGAGAAGAGAGAAGAGAAGAGAGACAGAGAGAGAGAGAAGAAAAAGGAGAGAGAGAGAGAGAAAAGGAGGAGAAAAAGGAGAGAGAGAAAAGGGGTGAGAAAAGGAGAGAGAAAAGGGGTGAGAAAAGGAGAGTGAGACAAGGAGAGAGAGAAAAGGGGTGAGAAAAGGAGAGCAAAAGGGGTGAGAAAGGGAGAGAGATTAGTTAATATTTCCTTATTGTTATTACTTATTCACTATCAGTTATCATTACTAAAAACTATCACTAATTGTAATTATCAATTATAGCCATAAATGATGATTTTACCATCCAATTACCTACAAATATAATTGTTAACCTAATGGTATTAATAATCATTGGGTATTTTGCCACTTCATTACATTAACCTAATGGTATTAATAATCATTGGGTATTTTGCCACTTCATTACAATTACCATTGAACAAGCAATTACTGGTTTAGCACTGAATAATACTTTTTACTGATCATAAGCCTCTCACAGACAACTAGTTAATCCTTATCACTAATGACTTCAGATTATCTACTAAGAATCCTCTTCATGTCTCGGTACCTATCGTTACCCACTAATTACCGTGCACTTATATCTGCAGCACTCCGCCCAGAATGCTGACGCTGAGAACTTCTTCCTGAGGACAACGGAGACTCCAAGGAACAGTGCCTGACCAACACCTATTATGCCCCCAGCCGTGTGGTAGAGGGGCAATGCGTCGTACAGAACTGCCTGTCCATCTTTACAGCTGGTCTGGACGCCAACCATTATACCCATGCCCAAGGCCGCAAAGTAGGCTCTGAGGGAGAACAGGTGAGAAACCAGGGGAGTGAGAGGAAAGGTGATTGTGAGTGATGACAGGTAACAAGGAGAGATGATGTCATTCTCTGATGTGAGCAGATGATGATAAATGATCATAATTCCACAAATAAAAGCAAGAAGAACAGGACAATTAGGATGAAACTGTGGGTGACACAAACAAATGATATCAAATGACCATACAAACTATAAATGCTGAACAAGGGAATAGGAGTAAGATGAAAAAACAAGTGGTAAGGAAAGAGGACATTGAATACGGGAAGGAGCAATTGGGAGAGAACTAAATAAATACGTAAATGCCAGTCCCTGAGTTCACTTGAGCCAGTTTGCATGATGTGCCTCATCCAGGTCTAAATGCTCATGGTGAACAATTTGGATAGAATTGTTTTTGAGGCTCCAAGTTGATGGCTATCTTGGTTGATTACAAACAGACTGCAAGGCAAAGAGAACTGCCTCTAAACCTTGCACTCTACACTATGGAACGCGTCACACAACATTCTGTTGGCTCAACTATTCCCCAAGTTTCACCAGGCAGCAAGCAGCAGTGTGCCCTACTCGAGTGAACACATACAATAAAGCAAAGAACTAGGATAATTACAAATGCAGGGTTTCTGCCTCCCTCAATAAAAAAAATTAAAAGTTATGTACCAAAGTGTTGGGAAGGGGCATAATAATATTCACCTTTGGCTACATACTTGTATTGGAATTGAGCATAGAGGATAATAGATGTCTGTATCATTTTCTTGAAGCTGCACCTTTATGTAATTTGAGTTCTTAAATGAAAATCTTTGGTCACAGCGCACTATTTTGTATGCTGAGTTCAAATGATTAAAATGCAAAGATTGGCAGTTTTTATGTCAATCTAATATCCCCCTCGTAAGGTAACTCAGAATTATGCAAAAAAAAATGGTCTACAATCGGTAAAAATTACATCGCAATCTCAATATGGTATTTTTTAGGGGGGGGGGGGGGGAATGAACATCTAGGCTCCTCAGA